CCACCCCGACTTTGGCTGGCAGGCCTTCGGCGGCATCGTGACCGCGACAGGCTCGACGGTGCAGGTCTCCATCAAAGACCCCGTGCGGCGCCGGATCTTCCTCGCGCCGATCGCCGCGCTCCTCACGCTCGACGCCGGCGCCTTCTCCACCATCGCGTACACGCCCGCCACGCAGACCGTCGTCGTGACGATCGCACCGACGCCGGACGGCGCGGCTGCTGCTGCCGCTGCGCCGAACGGCCGCCTGGTGGTCAGCCAGACGGCGGCGGTCGCGGGCGCCGGGGTGCTCAAGCCGACGACGACCGTCCCTGTCGACGCCGGTGCGTTTGTGGTCGCGTTCCAGAATGGGGTGGGGACGATCACGCTCAAGGCGGCCTGAGATGGCAGAATGTACTTTTCTCGTTGTTTGATGAAACAAACCCTCGTGGGCAATGTAATCTGCAGATGTAAACGCACGATGTATGTGCTCATGCCACTTGAGAGACCCAATCTCCTTGTTTGTTTCAGTCACTTCTACCGAGGGCGTTCCACTCTAACCATCACGTATACATCTGCCCCTCACGTATGCCGGCGCTCAACTTCTCTGAATCGAGAACAGCTGGCAGATTCTGAGAACACAGACGCTGAATGCTCGGAAGTTGATGCGCACCTCGCCGCTGGTGTCGCTGCTGACATACAGCACGCCCGTAGAGGAGAACGCGAGTCCCACGGGCCGGATGCAATGCCCGGGGCAGGACGTGAGGTTACTCGCCTGCACGAGGAACTCGTACGAGTCGCCGCGGAACGGAAAGGGGGCGCTGCAGTGCGCGATTCATATTCGTGTGGCTTTGGATGAGGGACAGACGCACTGGACGACGCCGTATCCCGTCGGCGGATTGCGGTTGAACGAGCCGTGGAAGGAGACGACCGCGTCGCCCGCGAAGCTGGCCGGGAAGGACGCGGCGGTCGAGATTGCGTGCGGGGCGTAGAACTTGATATCCAGCGGAACGGAATGCGCCTGAGAGCCGCGGTTAATCAGTTGTCCCATAGACGGTCGATGGGAATTCCTCACCTGCAGACTGAGCACGGGGGGCACGTTGTTCTGCGCCGATGCACACCAGCTGTCGTTTCTGTCGGGTGTAAGCATGAGGCTGATCTGCGCGCCCCTTGCGAGCGCCGTGTATTGCGGATCTCCCGCGGGATCGGCGGTAGGGTTCCAGAGCGTGGTGCAGTCCGGAAAGCCGTACGACACTGCCGGGCGGCCGAGGTGAACGGCGTTGATTTCGTCGGCTGGGTTGTCGTTCACGAACGCTGGAGTCAGTCCTTCAAGAAATCGACTCATCAAATGTGGGAAGCCCGGTGCATTGCATGTCTGTACTCACCTGTGACGTTGTCGATGCTGGCGCCGTTCTCGACGACGTAAAGCTTGCGGGGATGAGCCGGGTGCACTGCGAATCCGGCGGGGTTGCGGATCCCGTAAGCCACGACACGTCCGTCCGTCCATTGTTTCGGGGGCCGGGAGCCGCGACACGGGTTGGCTGACAGCGCGAACCGCCGGATCTGCGAGCGGCCAGATGCAGGATCTCGAGCGGTCGGGTCGATGTTGTTTAGCGGTCCGTTTGCGACGAGGAGCGAAGCAGCGCCGCCGGGCGTCTTCTCCAGTTGTAGCGTGTGCGTGGTGAGATCTGGAGCGAATCACTCGTTGCGCGTCCCATTGATGCGACGAACGGCAAAGAGCAGAGCACTTACCTCCGTCCGCTGGGAGACCCAGAATGACATCGCACGGGGCGGTTGAGTTCCCGACTGACTTGCGGGCGTGGTCGTATTGGTACGCGAGCACGGCGGCCGCGGTGCTGACGTACAGTGTGTCTGTGTCCGCGTCGAGCTGGATGCCCTGCGTGAAGTTCGGGTTGGCGATGACGAGCGTGCGGTCCCACCCGCCTGCGGCAGGGCTGATTACGGAGACGCCCAGCCCGCGCTCGACGACGAGGATGTTGTCGTCCCCATCGAGGGCAATGCCGCGCGGGAGGGTGAGGTTAGAGAAGAGGACCTGCGCGGAGAATCCCGGTGCGACAGTCACGGGGGCGCGGAACGGAGCGCCGGAGGGCTGGAAGGTCGCTGCGATAGGCGTGAGGAGCAAAACGAGGACGAGGGAGATGGACAGGAGACAGGCGTGCATTGGGTCGGCGGAGGTGGCAGCTCGTGTCAGTCCATCTTTATAGAGGAATCCCGGATGCTCCTTGACAGGCAGATTCGGCAGTCGTGGGTCACCGGTTTCAACCTAAGTATGTATGTAGATTGCTACTTACTCCGACGACGGTATTGAACGAGACTGGCTGACCTATTTCAGGTAGTCACGGTCACATGTGACGACACGCGCTTTCCCTTCTTTGATAGTGCCACTTCCTCCTCGCAAATCCATGGCCGACGATTCCAAGGACATCCCTCCAAACCCACCGCGCTGGCGGCCCAACCCGGACCCGTCGTCCATTGTCGTTCCGGGCCTCGACACCAGCGCGCCCATCCACGACCAGATTGAGCAGATCGAGCAGCTCATCACAATCAAGCTGCGCGTGAATAACTTTCTTTCCTTGTGCCGTGGGCCATGAGCCGTATCTCCGATGATCTCACCCGTGGCCAGGATGTCGACGAGAACTTTGCGCGCATCCAGCATGTCCTGGCGACGCGAATCTTGCCTGCGGTGCGGCGCTACGAGGCGAACACGAAGCCTGTGCGGGAGGCTGCGAATGTGGGTCCTCGGGCGCGGTGCGATCATTCCAGGGCTGATGCTTTCAGTGCAGTTCTGGGTCTCCTTCTACGAGAAGGCAGCGCAGATACGTATTCCCACGGCGGACGACTACTCGACTGTGAACGACGTGCCCTCCGAACGCGGAGATCAGACCCAGACGGAGTCGAGTGGGCAGCAAACTGAAGTCTTACTGGAAGAAGGGGAAGAGGAGGAGGAGGAGAATACTGCTCTTCGAGACCAGACAGCGCAGGAGCACAACACGACGACTGAGACATCATTCCTGCCTGGCCAAGCCGCCTTCGCATCTACCCCCGCTGCCGCGCGGCACGGGCTGGAGGAACCGTCATGGTCCGCTTCACTCGATTCGCCCCTGACGCGTCTCGATCGTGAGGTACAGAGCTTCTCACGCGAGCAGAGCACATTCCAACTGGACGAAGACGACCACACCGTGATCCGATCCGCGCTCAAGGGCAAGGGCAAGGACAAGGAGCCGATGCAGACCAATCTCCTGCGGAACCAGACGGGCATGCACTCTGATGTGTCGTTCTCCGCGATGTCGCCGATGCGGGGCAAGATCAAGACGCCCATCCCGCACAACCCGTACCTGCCAAAGACGATCCAGCCGGCGAACTGGAGCGGCATCGTCGATCTTCGCAATACGCCGCTGTCGACGCCACGGAGGGGAGAGAAGAGACACTTGGGTGACGTCAGCGACGACGACGACGACGACTCGTTCGACGGGCTGCCCGCTGGGATGTCGCCGCCCGTTCTGATGTCACCCGCGCGTCCCCCACGATCGACCGCTGAGCTGCAGCTCCTGCGTGGCAAGACACCCGCGAATGACGCTGCGGCGCGGATCAAAGACGATCTAGTGCGCGACCTGCGGCACCAGGAGTCGGTCAAGATCCGCCGCTACTACGGCTACCCGCTTGGGGACAACGCCACGGAGTCGAGCATGAACACGCTCGAATCCATCCCCTCGCTGTCGCGGTACCGCCCCGACACTGACACGAGTGCACTCGACGAGGAGGACGGGGACGAGAGCCTCGAGACGGTCATGCGCCGTGTGGCACTCGACGCGCGGATCCCGCCTCCGGTCTCGACCACCCCCGGTCTCCGCCTGCGTCCGAAAACGATGTCGGTCACTTCGTCGTCGTCCGGCCCGGTGCCGATGGCGTTCCGATTCGACGGGCCGCAGGCGCCGCTGTTGGACGACGGGGGCTTCGACTCGGACTCGGACTCGCTGGAGGAGGAGGTGAACAACACCGCGCACCCGTCCGCCGCGTTCCTGATGGCGGCCGGGTCCGGCACGTCCGGCTTCGACGAGGACGACTCGTTCCAGTCGCAGGACTCGCTGCTCGAGGCGGCGGACGGCAACGTCCTCGCTGCGTTCGCGCACCACCCCGGGTTCGCCGCCGCCGGCGGGGACGACTCGTTCGACGACGAGACGTTCGATGCGGGTGTGCCGCAGGAGGAGACGGTCTTCGGGCGCCCGCCGGCGCAGCGCGCGCAGAATCGGCTGTCGGAGCGCGGGGAGCTGCTGATGTTTGGCGGCGACGAGGCTGAGCAGCACGTGCCGGATACCTTGCAGTTCGCGCATGTCGGCAGCAGCCCGACGCCGCAGTATCGGTGATGGCTTGGGAATTTTTCTTGGATGTACTTGTTGTATGTGCAGTGTACGAGTGTTATGGTCAGTGGGATCATAACATCAATGTCAGCCATTTCTTGCAATGCACGGTCACCAATAAATGTGCTCTGACTGAACACAATACTCCATCACACATGTGGGATGGAGATCCTGTATGGACAGAAAGATACAAGATGCACAAGGGATGATCAATGAAATGCTGTCACGCCTGCAGGTGGATCCACTTTGGAAATTTCTAGTGTCTCATAATCTGGTTCAATCCCCTATTCAAATGTCCCAAATTTTATTGCTCAGGACTCTCATGTTGCCTAGAAAAAATATTGGAACCAGAACCTTGCTTCTGGTGGACTAAATGTGCGATCAAGGTCTTGAAATCACAATGCTTGCATCAATTGACATCATACTCATAATCTGCCCGGTTCAGAACCTATATATCTTCGATTATTCTACAACATTTTTAGGAGTCTCTGCAGCTTACCGTTGACCACTTGCAAAGCCGATTGTGTCTAGCTCAAGTGGTCATGGAGATGTAAATCCCTGATCCAAGTGGGCGTACTACACTGTATGGGTCTTACGTTCAATAATAATTGGCGGACAGATGCCAAGTCGTGTATGATCACACGCTATGCCAAACGTTTGTTGTCACTGTTCGGAACAGTTCAAGGGCTCGAGGACGGAGTGTGGACTGGTATGTACTAATTACGAGTTGACGTGCTTTCGGACAGCCAGATGCCTCCAGCATAACACTCGGCTAGCTTGCATTCACTGAGCACCTCTAGGTATCACTAATCGATCTGAAAGATTCTTGGATAAACGATATCTCATCGCGCCAGCCGATATCGTACGCACCCGAAGAGTTCCAGGGGGGACTCGAACCAACACCCAAGCCAGCAGTTGAAATAATATTACAACAAAGTATGTATACGCAATATTCCTGCTCGGATGTTTCGTTTTCATGCCAGTAAAAGACGCTTCTCGGCATCAGGAGCATTTGAGAAGCGCGCCGACTCCAGGGGAGTCAGACCGGCAAACGTTTTCGCGTCTTTATCCGCCCCGTTTCTGTGTCAGATAGATTAACATCGCATAAGGAGAAGAAAGTTACTGCTGGGCTGCCCACTGACTTGAGCAGGAACTCGATCCCCGGAACGTCGTTTTTCAGGGCGCATATATGGAGGGCAGAAATCCCGGTCGTGAGACTTTGGAAGTTGACATCGATAGGATCGGAGCCCTCCAGCAATGCCGAGGCAAGGACGACATTCCGTATTTCAAGCATGTCGAAAAACAGTTGCTGTTTCGCGTTCTTCACCATTTTCAGTCGCGCGAGGACCCGATCTGTGATGTCCACGGGGGTCTGAGTAGGCGAGCGGATATGAGTTTTATGATGGTATGGGACAGTTAGAAGAGATCAGGACCTGCTCTCCGGCATGCGATGTTGCGCGGACCCAGTACCTCCCGTCGCTGAGTACTGTAAATGGGTCAGTGAAATTTTCGTAGCCCGCGAATGGGCCTACTGCTTTCTCTGCACTCCGGACACGAATCCTTCATACCCACCGGCGCCACAGCCTGCGATATGTACGCCATGTAGCAGCAGTAATGCAGGTCATGTTCGCAACGCATGGAAAATCTGTGGATAGAATCTATAGGCGCATACGGTGTGGGCAGTGGGTTCGTGCACAGCCCACAATGGGGACCGGTCACTTTGGCGCGTGCTAAGGGAACGTAGGGGATCATTGAGCTTGAAGGGGTCGCTACAGTTCATGCGATTTAGATTCCATACGGCGAAATCGCAGAAAAAGGACACACGATCGGACTGTGTATGGGTCAGCAGAGATAAGTGCAAGAGAAAGCGCTTACTGAGCCTGAGGCGCGGGGTGGTTGTCCCCCTGTGGATTTGCGAGCGTATTGATATCGCGTACTTGCGCTCTGAAACACATCAGATCATTGGGGACCCACACATGGCACCGTGTCTACCTTGGACGGTTCTACCTCGCGCGGTCTCTTCCCTCCCGTCGATTTACGCGCCGCTCGGATGGGTTTCGATGAAGAAGAGGCCTCAGATTGTATCCAAACGTCGGTCGACTGTGAGCTGCCATCCGAGCTCTAAACGGAGGTGTCAGCCCGTCTTGGGAGCCGGCGCAATGTCGAAATTCTGACAATCGAGATGGCGCGCTTGCGGGAAGTCATACTCGTGGATCGATGAAATACTCGTGGCTTTGATCAGAGATGAGCCTGTGTACCGCCTGGTCCGACTCCGACCACAAAATCACAGGCGAAAGTGCATGATGGCCGAAAGGAAGAAAGAAGCATGAGCATGCCCAACGCTGTCAATGTCACGCGGGTGGCGCGATGGCATCACCCTCTGCCCGTGACCTGGACTCGTGACCAAGTTCCGTCCCGAAATGGACTCAATCGAGCTTGAACGCGGACTACCACCGCACCCTCCGTTCCACCACCAACGCCCAACACCATGATTCCCGCGAAGCGTGTTGCAGCTCTCTCAAGCGTGGCACGGGCCCCCGCTGTCGCTCTCCCCGCACGTGCTTACTCCAAGACACTCTCGGCCCGGCCCGTACCCCGCACTCTGCCACCGCGATCGACCCCGGGCATTTCTCAGTCTCATCGAGGGAACGTGCTTGTGCAGCGCCGAGGGTTCGCATCAGAAACCAGTGCGTGTGCTCTCTCCTTCCTTCCCCTCTCTCCACTCTCCGGACGTCATGGCTGGAACCGAGTACCCCAGAACCCGGCGCGCGCCGGCCGCACTTCGACAAGATCCTCATCGCGAATCGGTGCGTCCTCTCCTACATGCACCATCTTCAGCTCTCGATCTCTCGTCGCCAGCGGCGAGATCGCGTGCCGCGTCATCCGGACCGCGCGCAAGCTGGGCATCAAGACGGTTGCGGTGTACAGTGACGTCGACGCCGACTCACTCCATGTCAAACTGGCGAGTGCGATGCAGGGTGAATGTTGTTCGCGGAGTCTCATCTTTGCCAGGCGGACGAGGCGTTCTGCATCGGACCGGCGCCGTCAGCCGACAGCTACGTGAGCATGGGCGCAGCTGCAGCTGTTTGCAGCAGGTGTTGACTGCACCCCGTGTAGCTCCGGATGGACAAAATCATCGACGTATGTCGCAGAAGTGGTGCTCAGGTGCGTCTATCCCCTAATCAAAAATTGGGGTGAACCATAGCATGCATACAGGCCGTTCATCCTGGGTGAGCAATGGATTCGTGGTGACACATTATTCAAGAATTCTAATGACATCCATTCGACACAGCTACGGCTTTTTGAGTGAAAATGCGCAATTTTCCGATGAGCTTGCGAAAGCAGGTATCGTGTTCATCGGTCCACCAGCTCAGGCGATCATCAGTATGGGCTCTAAAAGGTCTGCCCTCCCAGAATGAAAGCAAATCGCAAAACTGATGACTTTCTCCAGTGAATCGAAGAATATTATGTCTGGTGAAAACATGTGAGGTTGTCTCCCTGAGGGTCAAACTTGACGCGGGACTTCAGCTGCCGGTGTTCCGTGCGTTCCCGGATATCACGGGGATAAACAAGACCCGCAATTTCTGTTCGAGCAGGCCCAGCAAATCGGTATGTTTCTGCACATCCTTACGAAGCACAATCTTCGATGAGCACGCACAGGCTTCCCGATCCTCATCAAAGCGATCCACGGCGGCGGAGGGAAGGGCATGCGGACGGTCACCGAGCCCACTTTCGCCGCGTTCCAGGAGGGCCTGTCCTCAGCCCAGCGAGAATCGTCGAAAGCCTTTGGCAACGATACCGTGCTGATCGAAAAATTCATCGAGCGCCCGAGACATGTCGAGGTGCAGGTCTTCGCGGACACTCTGGGCGGTGTAGTCAGCTTGTGGGAGCGCGACTGCTCGGTTCAGAGACGCAATCAGAAGATCATCGAAGAGGTGCGGGCTCTGATTTGTGGAGCGCGGACTCGGAATTGATGGGTTGCGCGGTTGGGAATAGGCGCCTGCTCCAGGGCTGAGCGCTGAGCTTCGTGCGGATCTCAGTGCGAAAGCGATCGCTGCAGCGAGGGCCGTGGATTACGTCGGTGCCGGAACAGTCGAGTTTATCTTCGACAACGACACGGGGAAATTCTACTTTATGGAGATGTGAGTTGTTGGCCTTTTGCGTGACTTTTTAGTGTTGATTTCCTGTTCAGGAACACTCGTTTGCAAGTCGAACATCCAGTGACTGAGATGGTGAGTGGCAACTGAAGATGATATCAGCGGATGTATTGAATGTTGATAGGTAACTGGGCTGGATCTGGTTGAATGGCAACTTGAAGTGAGGAATCGATGATGTGAGGATAAGATTGCAGATGCTGATCTATCCAGGTTGCGGCGGGGAACCCTCTCCCACTGGCCCAGTCTTCCATCCCTTTAGTCGGACATGCCTTCGAGGCCCGGATCTACGCCGAAAACCCACGAAACAACTTCCTCCCCGACTCTGGCACTTTGCTGCATCTCTCGACGCCCGCGCCCACGCATATATTCGCGACGCCGTTCTCCCCGATGACGTCCGATCTCGAGCTGATCCCGTCAGCATCATCTGACGCGCTGATGGCCGTCGAGCCTGCGGTGCGATTGGAGCAAGGGTTTGGCCAGGGTGCGCAGATCGGCGTGTTCTACGACCCGATGATAGCCAAACTTGTTGTACACGGCCGCGATCGCACCGAGGCGCTGCGGCTGCTGAGGAAGGCCCTGGAGGAGTATCACGTGGTTGGCGTGTCAACCAATGTTGAGTTTCTCCGGACTTTGGCGGGGAATCGAGCTTTCATCGACGAGGAGGTTGAGACTGGGTTCATTTCCGTAAGATTTTTTTTTGTCTCTGTCGAGCGGGAATTTGATCGGATCTCTCAAGAAACACTTTGATGAACTGTTCCCTCGTGTTGTCCAGCCTTCGCCCGAGCTGCTGGCTCAGACGGCGCTGTTTATTGCATTGAGAGACCAGCCTCTGCAGACCCCATCACCCTGGTCGTCGCTTGTCTCTCGGCGGTTCTGGGGCGACGTTTACGAGCGGACAATCACCTTCCAACAAGACGAAACCACGATGACGGTGGCCGTCAGATCTACATCGAAGGGCACCTTTGATATCGACGTTCGCATAGGTGATACCGCGACGGAGTTCCACTCTGTCTCTGGGGAGCTGCTGTCTGCGACCACCCTGCTTTCGACTGTCAACGGACAGCGGTCGCGTGCGACTGTTGTTTCGCAGCCACCGCCGCCGGGATTACCCGCTTCTGGGGCGTCCAACACAACTGAGCGGATCCACATCTTCTCGGATGGATGTAAGACGACGCTGAGCATCCCATCGCCGAAATGGCTTCTGTCGCTGAGCGAGGACGTGCTGGGTGCGGCGAAAGGCGCGCTGCGGGCGCCGATGCCGAGTCTGGTTGTGGAGGTGCGCGTGAAGGTCGGTGATCGGGTCGAGAAGGGCCAAGCGGTGGTTGTTTTGGAGAGTATGAAGACGGAGACGGTGTTGAGGGCCGATTTCGCCGGTGTGGTGAAGGCCGTCGGGTGTAAGAATGGCGAGATGGTTAAGGAAGGCCGGGAATTAGTTGACGTTGAGCAGGAGGCGGAGGGGGGCTCGGCTTGACCTGTGTTGTTGTTTGCTTAGCTGTGTGTCTGTAATATGCAAATGCTCCTGTGCCACTAACGCATATGCTCTGATGCAAGAAAGCCTAGGACGTGTGGATCAGGTGGGATCGGCAGTTTCTTGGTCCCGTGCTGTGGATGGCAACGCCGCGTGGGGCGCTGGCGTACAAACCGAGCGACGCCGCATTCGTAGCCTCACCTGAGCGACAGACAACGCGCAAATGACACCCGCTTGGTCAGACTGACCAAGTCGGCCGGCCGAACGTCGGGATAGGAAGGCGACTGGTTCGGGGACGTCTCGGTCGGTGAGTAAGAGATTGCCCGATTTGGCAAAACTTCACATCAATATTTGGTGATCCCTAGTGCACAACCAGTGTGAGAACGAGATACAGTTCGAAGAAAATTGGGGGAAAAGAACGAAAAATGAATGAGGAGCTATATATCTCGTTCGATGGAGCCTCAAGCAAAACAAACAGGGAAAAAGGATGCAGATCAAGTCCAGGACGACAAATCATCTCGTTTTCTTGATGACGTGAAAACGCTGAAGCGATCTAATCTCTGATGGGATTGTTCATACTCGACCGATTCTGTACTAATCGGTTAATATTAACTTCCAACTATGCATATATCCACCTCGTGAGGATATAAAAGGCAGGCTCGACGATGAAGGACAACAACAAACCTACTACACTCATCTCAACATCTTCCTCCCGCACTCAACACATAAACTCATGTCTTCTTACTCCTCGTTCGCAGTGATCGGTGCAGGCACTCTCGGTGGCCCAATCCTCGCCGCCCTCGCCGCCCAGCCCTCAGCAAAAGTCATCCTCCTCTCCCGCAGCGCAGCTAAGACGGTCCCGGCGAACGTCAAGGTCGTCCAAGTTCCGGCGTACGACGACGTCCCCGCGGTCGCCGCCGCGCTCAAGGCGCATAGGGTCGAGGTGATCGTGTCGACGCTGACCACTGAAGCCATCGCTGCGCAGTCACCTCTCATTGACGCGGCACAGAGGGCTGGCGTCAAGCTGTTCGTGCCGTCTGAGTTCGGCACGTCGACGGAGGGACATACGGAGGGTCCATTTGGCGAAAAGAACAAGATCATAGGTGCGCTCTGCCCCTCTTCCTCTGGCTGTTTTCTCAGGCAATCATTCATCCAGAAAAGCTCCAGAGCGTCGGCGTGCCATATCTCCGTATCTTTGTGAGTGCTTGAAGGCTCTTCTGTGCCTACGCCAGACGCTGAAGAAACCGCGCAGAACGGATTGTTCATCGAATTCGCGACCTGGACCGTGAACTACAACGCCGAGGCCAAGAAGCTGTACGTGATCGGCAAATCGGAGGGTCCCGTGTCGGCCACGTCCATCGGAGATGTTGCTGGTGCGTTATCACCGGCCGGCTAGTGATCTGCATGGGGCTCACAAAGCATTACTCTAGGCTATCTCGCGCACATCCTGACGCACCAACCTTCCTTCATCCTCGCAAACAGGATTCTGCGCATCGAGGGCGACCGCATCCCGGGCTACCGCTCCCTCGGGCCGCTCTTCGGAGCGAAAGTCGAGACGGTCGAGAAGTTGGAAGGAGAGATGTCCGATCTCAAGGCGTCCCTGATGAGCCTCGCTGACCAGGGTCTCGCGACCACGGGCTGCGGCGTCAAAGGCGTGTCTGACGAGGAGGCGTCTAAGAGTGGGAACGCACTGTGGCCGGAACACCAGTGGAAGACGGTCAAGGATGTGTTCGGTCTCTAGTCTACGGAAAACAGTTAGTCGAGGTACAAGCGTAAATGTCAGACTTGCCGAAAAGCTTGTGAAACCCGCATGTCGGAGTTTGAATTTGGCTGATCGGGTGGGCCATTCCGCCTGATGTGATCACAACGACAGGCTCGTCGAATTCTTATTGTACCATGGGATGGCTAAACACCTTACGCGGTGGCCTGTAATTTATCACAAAGAGAACAAGCATTTAGCAGGTCTAATGCATAAATCAGCAACCAGCTGAACACCAGAAGATGAATCAGGCCATGATCTAACAGCATGACCACAAAATAATTGAAGCATAGTGTAAATATGCCACTGTCATCTGGACCTCAGACATCATCGCAAACGATGCCGGTCTCCTGATTAAATGGGCGTCTTATTATTTCCGGTAGGTGCTCCCAGTCCCTTGGGACTTTCGGATTTTCCCCTCAATTCGGCCAGTCAGATGGTTAACTTGAACCGTGGGATCCACGTGATTGCTACGACGCCGTCATCAACCAATGAGAGCGCGCCGCTATATTGGGTAGCGAGCTACGGGAAGGACACAGACGCGGTGATCCTCAGGGTACGCCGCCCGCTCGCGCCGCAATCGAAGTCGCTCACACATGCGCACATGCGCACACACACGCAGGTAGCACATCAGACCTCGTCGCGACCAACTTCCGCGACTTCAACGTGATGTTTGCATCTCCTCACCTGCGCTCAGTCCGATCACCGGCCTCTTCAATATATTCAATGGGCCTGTGGCACCGGACCAGATCGTCCCCGTGTCGAGCAGCTTTGCGCGGCGATTCCCGGACCGCTTCAACTACTCGTTCCCCGGAGTGAGTGTCCGGTCATGTCGATACAGGCCAAAGCGCCTTCTAGCATCACGAACACGAATAGCTAGAGCACATGCATGCAATGTTTCAATGCGTGTGACCTCGAGCTTCGGACACACACCGTCAGTCTGCGAGTCGATGCTATTATGACGGAAGAAGCGTGGTAAATGGTCGGGGCCCGCTAGTATCATTATTTCCCAAGATGTGCCGCACCTCGCCCGAGGGTCCGCACATGGACTGCCACATGAGGTGGGGCGTTGGGCCCAAACGAAACTCCTTTAAAAGCAGCTGACGATGCGGGGCTGGAGGCACACGAGTCCACTCGCTCCATTTCACACTGCGATGTTTCCCCAGCTCTTCAACTCGAGGACAGCCTTGATCTCCGTCTCCTGCGCGGCGCTCGCTGCCGCAGCGGGGATCCCCCAGACCCGGGGCGCCGTGCAGCTGGCCGTGAACCCTCAGTGCGGTACGCTCGCAGCGGGCGTGCCTGCTGACGTGAACGTCGGGCTCGCGCCGTTGAGCTCGTACAAAACGATCGTCGCATTTGGAGGCGAGTCGATCTCCGGTTATCGAGCTAGATTGCACTGTGCTGAATCGACCCTTGCAGACTCGTACACGGGCGGCGGCGCGACGAACGGCCCCACGTGGGTGGAGCTCCTGGCCAGATCTGCAAATGCGCAGCTAATCAACTACGCGGTCGGTTCTCGTCTCCCTTTAGTGCAAGAGTGGAGACTGATGTGGAGACGACTGACTAGGCCACGGGATCAGTGGTGGACACGACCCTATGGCCCCACGCACCCGCGATTCAGGCGGCCTCGGGACAGGACTATGTGAACCAAGGTGTGTCGACCCGCTCGTGAGTACGGACAGCGCCTCAGATCCGACCAGCGAGGACCCTCGAATCAACAAAAACGCTCGACCCTGCCTCGACGCTATATGTCATGTTTTACGGAATAGAGTGAGTGGCATCGGACACCCGATCCTTCGTGCTGGTCACTGACCCGTTGCGCGCAGAGATTACGCTGAAGCAGTCGGTGAGTAGATTTGCATGGATGAGGCGGATGAGAAGATCTGGATGGAGAAAGCGTACAAGATCATCGTGACTCACGCGACCTTCCAAAGCCACCGGATCGACTGACATGTCCAACATCGCTGGGTCCTGGGTAAGCCTGTCTCCCCCCGATCCCAGACGCATACCGACCAGATGATCCCAGCTGTACACCACGCTCGGGCTCGAGGGCTCTGGCTCGACGCTCATGCGCAACATCCTCGTGAGCCCCCCTCCTCACCCCCACCTCCCAGCGCTGACCACACGCAGTTCGTCGACAACTACGGGCTCGGCAAGACGAGCGCGCTGGGCGACACCTTCAAGCAGTACGTCTTCACCGCGCTCGGCACGGGCCACCGCCTCAACGGCTGGAACGCGGGCTTCGTGTCGCTCAACCGCGTGTGGGCGGGCGTGCTCTACGGCGCACCCGGGTACAAGGCGTTCGGGTACACGGACGTCTCCGGGAACTGCGTGCAGGGCAATGCGACGTGCGCGGATCCCGCGCATACATTCATGTGGTCTGCAGGGTGCGTCGTCGTGGGCAATCACGGGTGCTTTGCTTGCTGACCACTTGTTGTGTTGTTTCCTAGAAACCCGACTGCTGCGACGCACGCGATCATGGCAGAGTATGTCGAGAAGGCGTTGACACAGTGTGTGTCGCAGACGTAATGAGATGAAGGGACGCAACCGAGATCAGGGAAGGAGGAATGACTTGTATGACTCATCAAAGCTTTGTGTACATAATGATCTGTTACTTGACCACCTGCAACTTCCCGTTCTTCCATGTCACCGCGTTGCTTGCTCCGCTCAGACTCGAATACACGCCCAGTCTATGATTATCAACTTCCTTTTCACGAAACAGGGTGTCAAGGAAGGGATGGCTCGATCGAGAGGTGGCCAAGTATTCTTTCCGTCGTTCTCATCTTCTGTACATTCCTAGGTTGATAAGACTGATGTGGCAGACTTCAGCCCAGAGTGACAGATCCATAGATCCCGATGTGAGATTCAAAGAGCCAGTAACGTAGCGTCACATGACATCCTTTCTTGCATGTTGACTAGCCTTCTGTATACGCGACTCTAAAGACCAAAAACATCTTTAACGGTCTTCCACTGGTGGCCTGCCCACAACGCGTTTCCGCTCTTCGAGGCCACTTCGTCAGATACACCTTTGACGCCCCGGCCAGTGGTCGCCAGACCCTGGTCAGCGACGCTCATCAAGAACACCTTCAGGTCCGCCATCTCTCCTTCCAGCGTTTCCACCGTTTCAACTTCCGCACCAAACAGTGCCCCGAGGGATCGATAGCCAGCAATCCGGTCGCCTTCGATGCGCACGATCTGGTTCTCGAGAACAGAACGAGGCTGGTGCGTGAGGACATGTGCGACGAAGCCTTGTGGAGAAGTAACGGGGTCAGTGTGTTATAAATATGCAAGAGACAGACCAGTGATAACGTACCAGCGACATCTCCGATCGACGTGGCAGAAACAGTGCCCTCCGATTTACCGACCACGTACAGCTTCTTTGCCTCGGCGTTGTAGTTCACGGTCCAGGTCACGAACTCGATGAATAATCCGTTCTGCGGGTCTGCGTCAGCATCTCGAGCACAAAAGAGCATCGAAGCGCTCACAAAAATGCGGAGGTACGGCACGCCAGCGCTCTTGAGTTTTTCTGGATGGATGAATGCATGAGCGAGCAGCCAAAGAACGAGGAGCTAAGCATACCTATGATCTTGTTCTTCTCGGCGAACGGACCCTCTGTATACCCTTCTGTCGAGGTGCCAAACTCGGACGGCACGAACAGCTTGATACCAGCTTGCTTCGCCGCGTCGACGAGAGGCGCCTGAGCGGAAATGGCCTCCGTGGTCACTGTGGACACGATCACTTCGACGTTGTGCGCTTTGAGTGCGGCGGTGACAGCTGGCACGTCGTCGTACGACGGGACTTGGACGACCTGGACGTTCTCCGGGGCCTTCTTGGACGCGGTGCGGGAGAGCAAGATCACTTTGACCGATGGCTGGGCGGCGAGGGCGGCTAGGATAGGGCCACCAAGAGTGCCAGCTCCGATCACGGCGAACGAGGTGTAAGAAGGCATTGGTTAATGAGTTGACTGAGTGTAGGAGGAAGCAGATGGTAGGTTTTTTCCTGTCCTTGACCTCCGCTGTAGCTCGTCTTTTATAACCTCGCCAGTCGACATCGCAGAGTAAATGGTTTAAGAGGACATCGATGATCTCATCAGAGGATTAGATACCTTTAGTACGTTCACGTCATTGGGATGACGAGATGGCGTCCTCTGGATATGATCTGTATCGTGTCTCGATTGTCCTTCCATCGAATCAAATCTTTTGCAGGGCATTTCTGTTCGGATTCCACTTCGTATTTTCCCCTGCAGCTATGTCTTTCACTCTTTCTCTCTAGCTACACACTAGTGATCACCAAATGGGGATGTGAAGAATTTCCCAATCGGGCAATTCCTTACTCACTGACCGAGACGTCCCCGAGCCAGTCGTCCTCTCACCCCGACGTTCGGCTGGCCGATTGCACCTTTCTGACCAAGCTGATTTCATTTTCGCCTCGTTTGCCGCTTGGATTAGGCAATGAATGCGAGGTCATTCGGTCTCGAGGGCGTGCCACTGCGTGCCAACGACTTCTGCTGTGTTGCTATTCACACAACATGACCAAGCAGCCGCTCTCAGCCCTCCCGGATATGCATTTCACTGACGATCCTACGGCAAACGACTCGGCGCGGAGTTGGGGTTGCTCAGTTTGAACGCACACCGATCTCCTCCAGGGCATGGTGCAGCTGACCTTCTCTTGGAGTTCGGGCCCCAGTGAACAGGTACTGTCTTTTTCCCCTTATATGCCCATTTTTACATTGACTGTCGTCAAAATGAATGGGAATAATGTCAACAGCAAGGCTGCCATCGAGTGCGCTATCGAGCACGAGTAGATTCCATTGTGGGCCGCACCCGTGCTGAAGAAATTCGTGCGTTCTGACGGGAGGAGTCGGGAAAAGACCCCAGTCCTACCGTACAGTCGATTCCCATCGCCTCCGCTTTCAGTCACCGAATATCGATGAATGCCTATCCGAAGTACGCACATCTACTCTTTATGCCAAGGCGCACGATCAATCAAGTTCCAGTTCCATGCCCTCGTTGGATACGTCAATAACAGCTCGTCGATGCATGCACAATCAGATGACATGCGATGTTGCTTCACACCCTAACATCGCAAAAGCTTGACCTCAGGGCACTGAGTCCCTGATCCGGTATAGACATCTATTTCTTCATAAGAATGCGTTGAATGGTCATATATTTCTCTTAGTCTACCCCCATACGTCTCATGCTATTGACTTGTCCGACGATCGCTGTCATCATCACACGGTGTCGCAACGCGGTCCCGTGACCGGTGTGCGATGTTGATTTCGGTCTCGCCAATCGAGAGCACGACTGAGAGAGGAAAACAGCATAGTAAGAGGGGGGGAAATCATAATTCAAGGATGCGCTACTCGCAGGTTCCGCACCTATTGGGTGTGTAGTCCTCCCGTCCATCGACGTCGCTGACATGCGCTCATGATCAAGGTACAGACCGATCGACCCACTCCATCCTCACCAACTCCTGCGTGCTTAAGACCCATGTTAGCTCTCCTGAAGTGCTCGTTGGGACCACAGATGTCCTCACGCGTGATCCGAAAGAGCTTCTTTTCTATTGGTACAGGGCGAGACATCCGGGCTTCGACGATGCCAGTCTTGGAGCTCTTTATGACAGTTTATCAGATACTTACTCTTGAGGGATTTTGGGTCGTGCGTGATGTGTTGAGGACTCAAGCCTCGTACAAGGGGTGTCGGAAATCGGGATCTTCGAAATCTCATCATATTTTGTCGCCGCGAAGATTGAGTTAAGGCTGCGAGTCTTGAAGTTTTTTCGGCTGATTTAAAACTATTGGCGAGGAGATGCATCATCGAGCGGAGCGGAAGTTGCTTGACGAGGGATCTGACTATGCCGGCAGTTTTTTCTAAGCTCGGGTGGTTATGTACAGTCTAGGATGCATACACAGGATACTGAACGCGTTCTTGGAGAGTTCATCATGGGGATGACACATTGAAATGGTTCGCTGAGGAGCACCATTATCGTCCATGTACAATTCAGGATACTTTCTTCACAGCACCCAGTTCGGATATCTCCGGAGAACCCCGCCGACAGGAGATGCGGAAGATCCCGGTAGCCAAACACAAGAAAATCGTAACTCCTTGACACCGACTTTTTTGACACTTGTATCCGTGGATTGACAGCTGATCAAAGATCTCACTAATGTGCAGTATCTGCCAAGTCCGCCCGACAGCCCGGCACATGAAGCGTCTTCGCGCGCCCACCGAGGCCGGGACGGGCCGTGGACCTCGTTCTCAGAGAGAATACCGTTCAGGCATGCCTCGCCCGTCCGCTTCTCAGAGTCCAGCTATCCAAAGATCGCTGCTGAGAAAAGACCAAGCCCTTTCTGTCGGAAATCGTGATTTGGTCGTGATACCAAGAAGTTTGCCTGGCTTCTTACAGCCAAGACGGTTCGCACAGCCGCCCAGCTGCTACCCCAATATTAGTCGAAGAGATATGATTGGCTCCGCGGTTCGGTCATTGTTCTGCTTCAATACTTGGCACTGGGCTTCAAATACTGGAGTGATCCTGAGAGCCATGACCCGCTCACCCTGGTTTCGGTTGTCTCATCTTGTGGAGCCCGTCGACTTTGGCCGCTTGTTCTTCTTCTTTTCCGCGCAGGGCGTGCATACATTCAAGAGGCGCCAGTCGTTTCTGTTTCTTCATCGTCAATTCCTTCCCCCAGCTCCCTTTCTTTCTTCTCTGTCTCCGCCTTTTCCTTCTTCATCCACTCAACATGGAGAGCGAATCCAAAGTCAGTTCTCTGGTCCGCCGGATCCACGGATGGTCGTGGCAAGCGGTGAGCATCTACCCCGAATGTGCTGCCCCTTGAACCGGAGTGGCTGAGTGGCTGCTTAACAGTTCCCCATCGGCATGGGCACCGGTGCCGTCTACGTGACGCTCTCCGGCCTCGAGGCACAGACACCCGCGCTAGTGACTATCCAAGTGATCTTCTACTTCCTCAATATGGCCCTCTTCCTGCTCAACACGAGTACCCTGCTCGTGCAAGCCATCGGTGCGTCGCGCGCGCTCTCACACACGTGGCTTTCGTCGGCTGACTGCATGTTGTCCGTGCAGTCTTCCCTAGGCAGGCATGGAGGCTGCTGCAGGACCCCGTCAAAGGCATCTTCGTCCCCCTCGTCGTCCTCTCGTTCGCCACCATCATCATCGGAACGATAAATTACGCGGTGCCGTCCAAACACGTTGGCCCGGAGCTGATCTATGCGCTGTTCTGGTGGGCGCTTTCTCCCCCTGTATGTCGCTGGACGCCGCTGACCCTTGATCTGGCGCGTGCAGGGTGTACACGGTGTTCGCGCTGCTGACCTGCTTCCCAATGATGATGATCTGGTTCAACAAGCCGCATGATCTGAACCACTTCACACCTGCCTATGCGTTCTTGGTGCGCCCCGATCCTGCCATGACGTCGTGCGATTGACCGACCGTTTTGTCGCAGGTATTTCCTCTGGTGTGGCATGGGCATTCTAAACCCGGGGTAGACCGGCTGACGTCCCGATAGATGCTGGTCGGCGTGGTTTCGTTCAACCTTCTGAACGTGATGTCAAACGACGATCCCCGAGCTCTTGGCGTCCTGTTCGTCGGCTATTTCTTCCAGGGTATGTGGGCTGCCGAAATCGCCAAAGCCTTTTCCTGAATATTGTATCACAGGTCTCGGGTTCTTCATGACCTTCATCTACATCTGCATCTATGTCATCCGCGTTATGACTGTGAGACATTCCGATCCAAACCCTGGGGATCGTCACTGATGTACACGCATAGACGGGATTCCTCGATGGTCATCAGGCAAACGGTGCATTCGTTGCCTGCGGTCCCCCTGGCTTCACTGCCCTGGCCCTGGTCAACCTCGGGCGCCACGCCAAGGACCTGTACGCGATCCATCCATTCATCCTTTTTCTGTTTCGTTCCTCACGGATCTCTCCATAGACTGCCCAAGTTCAATCTCGTGTCACCGCAAGCGGGCGAGATCTGGTATGCCGTCAGCATCATGTCGGCGCTGATGCTCTACGGGCTCGCGGTGTTCTTCTTTGTGTTTGGTGTTCTGCCGTACTGGTTCAAAGTGCACAAACACCTGAACGAGATCCTTGGATGTGAGTATCCTGCTGCGTGCGTGTCTCCCCACCCGAGCTGACCCGTCTCTTGCTAGGCTGGGCGCTGACCTTCCCCAACGGTTTGTCCCTCCTTTCCTTCCGCTTTCCATCGATATCTGACTGGGCCATCCTCCAGTCGGGTGGATCAGCACCACGAAAACACTCGGCAAATTGCTAAACGTCCCTGGGCTGGTGTCGCTGCATGTGTTTTTGTCGGTCGTGATCGTGATCACTTGGCTGGTGCTCATCGTCCTCACCGCGATGGCATTCTGGAAGGGGCTCATCTTCTACTCCAAGCCGGAGGACGTGCTCAGGGACTCGGTCACCGAGGCCGAGGAGAAGGAGATCGAGAAGCACGCGTCGAGGTCGTCGTTCACGATCGACCATGAGCAGCAGTACCCCCATCAGTACCACCCGTACAACCACGTCTGAGCAACGGGACACACCCGTGACGGACCTTTCACACACAAACTTGTACTTGGTTTTCTCTCCCTTGTAGACTGGTGGATTTGTGTGCATCACAATCTAGAGTTTTGCACAAGGACAATCATACAGACATTCCTTAACATCGTTTAGTACCGCGGCCGCTTACGCACATATTAGTAGTACTCACTCGCACTTTATTTTCTCCCTCTTTTCTCGTAGATTGGTTCTGGGTCGGAATCCTCATTAGCCTTGCAAAGTGTTGCGAGTTCCTCCGCGAGGGCACGACAGTTCGGGCACTGAAGAAGGGCGTCCGTGAATTCCACCCGGATTGAGGCCTCCTGGGGCTGTGTCTGGCCGTTATCACTCATCCGGTCCTTGAGAACACAGTGGGGCACAATTAGGGAGGCGCACGAGAAGCAAGAGTCAGATCGAAAGTCACATCTCTCCATTGCTCAGTCGAATGTAATATCTGATTGCAGAAGTTGACACTGCTGCGAGCCATCGTCCTCCGACCCGAGCTTCACAAGGATGCCAGCTCCATCGCGCACATTGAACCAAGCGACGCTGCGTTCGCCGCCCGAGCTGAGCGATAGGCAACGCCGCCGATGACATCCGCTTGGTCAGGCAGACGGTGTACGTCCCCGGAACATCGGGAATTGAGATGGAATGGTAACAAATTCCGCGACCTCCCGGTGAATGAGTAACTGATGGATGTGGTAATCGCTATTCACATGAACATCTGGGGATCGTCAGTGTATAGGCAGTGAGAGAACGAGATGCAGCTCGGAACGAATGATGGGGGGAGTCTAAACATGAACGAGCGGCATGGGATTTTGTTCGATAGAACTTCGATCGAGACACAAGTGCAAATCTAATGAAGTTCTGGATGGTAAATCATCTCGTTATATCGATGACACGAAAGCAACCGAAGGACCAAGGCATCTAATCCTTCGATGAGATCATCCATACGACGCGATCGATTCTGTTGTTCGCTATCCACTCCCAACCATGCATGTCGACACGTCCACCTCGCGAGGTTATAAGAGACAGGCTCAAACGGAGTCAGAGGACAACAGAAACTCGAACAACTGATCGCACCATCTACCTCCCACACTCGACCCATCGATGTCTCCTACATACTCCTCATTCGCAGTGATTGGTGCTGGCACTATTGGTGGCCCTATCCTCGCCGCCCTGGCCGCCCAGCCGTCCGTGAAAGTCATCCTCCTCTCCCGCGGCGCGTCCACATCCAAGACGGTCCCAGCGAGCGTCGAGGTCGTGCAAGTCCCCTCGTACGACGACGTGACCGCCGTCGCCGCTGCACTCAAGGCGCACAACGTCGAAGTGATCGTGTCCACGCTGAACACCGTGGCTCTTCCATCTCAACTCTCTCTCGCGGATGCAGCGAAGCAGGCCGGTGTCAAGTTGTTCTTGCCGTCTGAGTTTGGCTTTTCGACGGAGGGAGCCACCGAGGGGTTGTTGGGCGCGAAGCAAAAGACCGTCGGTGCGTTCAGCTCCTCGTTTTCCGGTCACTTGCTCATGCGTCCATCCATGCAGACAAGCTCCAGACCGTCGGCGTGCCCTACTTCCGCATCTTTGTCAGTGCTTCTGGGCTCTCCCCTGCTTCAGATCCTGATGCGAACCTGCAGACCGGATTGTTCATCGAGTTTGTGCCCTGGGCCGTGAACTACAGTGCCGAAGCCAAGAAGCTGTACGTGGTCGGCAAATCGGAGGGCGCCGTGTCCGTCGCATCCATCGCCGATATTGCCGGTGCGTGATTCTTGGCCTGTCGTGACATAGAGGGTGCTGACAACCTCGTCTTAGGCTATCTCGCACATGTCCTGACGCACCAACCCACCGCTATCCTCGAGAACAAGATCCTGCGTATCGAAGGCGACCGTATCCCGGGTTTCCGGTCCCTTGGTCCGCTCTTCGGCGCCGAGGTCGTGACGGTCGAAGCGATGGAAGGGGCTGACTTCAAGGCATTCTTGATGAGCCTTGCTGACCAGGGTGTCGCAACTACAGGCTACGGCGTTGAAGGCGTTTCTGATGAGGAGGCTTCCAAGAGCGGCAACGCACTGTGGGCGGGACACCAGTGGAAGACAGTCAAGGATGTTTACGGTCACTAGTCGACGAAAAACGCCTATTCGATGTTATCTCACGTGATATTCTTCACACAACCACGGATTATTCTATGACGTACTTGAGGCCTTCTTGGCGCTGTCGGTAGAAGCCTCACTTCAAAGTTCAGAGCGCTGGATCCTTGCATTGCAAATGGGAACCTACTGAATTATAACCCTGAGTCAGATTTCCTTCGATCCGTTCATCAACCTATCCGTTCTCAAGTGCGAGCCTGCCTGAAAATTGCTTCAATTGTCACATGTGGTCGCAACACCTTGCCGTGATCATTGCACGATACCTCGATTTCAGTCTCGCCAGTCGAGAGCAGGAGTCAGGGGGAGAAATAGCCTAGTAGGCGCCAGAGAAAAATAGGCAAGCGCTACTCGCAGGCTCCACAGGGATTCAGTTTTTAGCCCCGTGCGTCTGACTGGAGCGCGCCTACTGTACCAATTCCATGACTGACAGGTGCTCATCTTCAAGTTAGAGCTGAGCCAAGCACCAGGACCCCGATTCCACGAGAATGCTATCTCCACTGCGCCTCAGGTGATCGCCGTGAGCTCGAGCTCGGAAGACCGCCTCTGCTCTGAGCCATTTGCTGCAGAAATTTCCAAGACGTCTATGTCCGTTGGATTCGGGAATGGCTTCTGTGGGTCGCAACGGAGCGTGGGCTGCTTGCAAAAGCTGCACAGCCTCGGCGTGCCGTACCTCCGCATCTTTGTGGCCTCCCCAGCCGCGCGTCGCGACCACGGGCCACGGCGTCAGAGGTGTGCCTGACGAGGAGGCTTCCCGGAGCGGAAACGCGCTGCGGGCGGGCCACCGGTGGGAGACCATCAGGGATTTTTACGGTCTCTAGTTCGCGAAACTCGACCATATGCGATTCGGACGTTCGCGAGGTGCTTCGTGCCGTGGTAAATGTGATGGGAGTTCAACGTTCAATTCTGAGTGAGGCCAATGGCCATTCCTGAAACTCGTTCGTTTGATGCTTCCAAATTGATCGTGGGAATCATTGCAAAGATCCGGGATCCGACACCCCTTCGTTATATCATATGTACACAAAGCTTTTGATAAGTCATACAAGTTTCATCATCCCTCTCCTTATCTCGGCTACATCCCTTCATCTCATTACGTCTGCGACACACACTGTGTCAACGCCTTCTCCACATACTCTGCCATGATCGCGTGCGTCGCAGCAGTCGGGTTTCTAGGAAACAACACAACAATTGGTCAGCAAGCAAATCACCCGTGATTGCCCACGACGACGCACCCTGCAGACCACATGAATGTATGCGCGGGATCCGCGCACGTCGCATTGCCCTGCACGCAGTTCCCGGCGACGTCCGTGTACCCGAACGCCTTGTACCCGGGTGCGCCGTAGAGCACACCCGCCCACACGCGGTCGAGCGACACGAAGCCCGCGTTCCAGCCGTTGAGGCGGTGGCCCGTGCCGAGCGCGGTGAAGACGTACTGCTTGAAAGTGTCGCCCAGCGCGCTCGTCTTGCCGAGCCCGTAGTTGTCGACGAACTGCGTGTGGTCAGCGCTGGGAGGTGGGGGTGAGGAGGGGGGCTTACGAGGATGTTGCGCATGAGCGTCGAGCCGGAGCCCTCGAGCCCGAGCGTGGTGTACAGCTGGGGTCATCTGGTCGGTACGCGCTTGGGATCGGGGGGAGACAGGCTTACCCAGGACCCAGCGATGTTGGACATGTCAGTCGATCCGGTGGCTTTGGAAGGTCGCGTGAGTCACGATGATCTTGTACGCTTTCTCCATCCAGATCTACTCACCGACTGCTTCAGCATAATCTCTGCGCGCAACGGGTCAGTGACCAGCACGAAGGATCGGGTGTCCGATGCCACTCACTCTATTCCATAAAACATGACATATAGCGTCGAGGCAGGGTCGAGCGTTTTTGTTGATTCGAGGGTCCTCGCTGGTCGGATCTGAGGCACTGTCTGGACACGCGAGCGGGTCCACATACCTTGGTTCACATAGTCCTGTCCCGAGGCCGCCTGAATCGCGGGTGCGTGGGGCCATAGGGTCGTGTCCACCACTGATCCCGTGGCCTAGTTTTCTCCACATCAGTCTCCACTCTTGCACTAAAGGGAGACGAGAACCGACCGCGTAGTTGATTAGCTGCGCATTTGCAGATCTGGCCAGGAGCTCCACCCACGTGGGGCCGTTCGTCGCGCCGCCGCCCGTGTACGAGTCTGCAAGTGTCGATTCAGCACAGTGCAATCTAGCTCGATTACCAGAGATCGACTCGCCTCCGAATGCGACGATCGTTTTGTACGAGCTCAGCGGCGCGAGCCCGACGTTCACATCGACGGGCACGCCCGCAGCCAGCGTCCCGCACTGGGGGCTCACGGCCAGCTGCACGGCGCCCCGGGTCTGGGGGATCCCCGCTGCCGCAGCGAGCGCCGCGCAGGAGACGGAGATCAAGGCTGTCCTCGAGTTGAAGAGCTGGGGAAACATCGCAGTGTGAAATGGAGCGGGTGGACTCGTGTGCCTCCAGCCCCGCATCGTCAGCTGCTTTTAAAGGAGTTTCGTTTGGGCTCAGGGCCCCACCTCATGTGGCAGTCCATGTGCGGACCCCGGGCGAGGCGCGGCACATCTTGGGAAAATAGTGAGACTAGCGGGCCCCGACCATTAACCATGCTTCTTCCGTCAGATCAAGACGGCCTCGCCGACTGACGGTGTGTGTCCGAAGCTCGAGGTCACACGCCTGTAGCTATGTATTGCCAGTGTGGTACATGTGCTCTCTAGCTATTTGTATTCGTGATGCTAAACGGCGCTTTGGCCTGCAGCGACACGACCGTCACGCTCGTCGCGGGGAACGAGTAGTTGAAGCGGTCCGGGAACGGCAGCGCAAAACTGCTCGAGACGGGGATGATCTGGTCTGGCGCCGCAGGCGTATTGGATATGTTGAACAGGCCGGTGATCGGACTGAGCACAGGCGAGGAGATGCTGACGGCAGACCCAAACGACGTCACGTTGAAGTCGAGGAAGATGTTCGCGACGAGGTCCGACGTCCCAGTGTTTGACACCTGCGTGTGTGTGCGCGCATGTGTTAATGACTTCGATTAAGAGCGCGATAGAGATCGGCAGGCGGCGTCCGTACCTTGAGGAACACCACGTCCGTGTCGTTCTGGTAGCTCGCGACCCAATATAGCGGCGCGCTCTCATTGGTCGATGATGGCGTCGTAGCAATCACGTGGCTCCCACGGTTCAAGCTAAACATCTGACAGAAGTTAGAATGGCAAATTCCGAAAAACCCGAAGGAATAAGCGGCACCTGCTGGACGTAATAGGACGTCGATTTTATCAGACGACTGGCGTCATATGAGATAATATCGGGGGTCCAGACGTAGCTCTTGAGATGTTGGAAGCTGGGGGAAAAACGAGTTAGCCCGCGCGTGATGTCATTAACGGAGGGTCGGCAGTTGCCGGTTGTACCTAGGCGCATCTGTTTACGAGGTGGATTAAAATGTGGAGCGAGATGGATGGAGCAGGCATACAAGCAGAAGCAAACACGACGTCGCTGTTGCGCTCGAGCCCCGTCATAAACGCCGCCTCGGCCGCGGCGCCCTGCAGAGTCGGGTACGGAAGTCGCCCGTCGGCGATAGCGCCTAGGAGGTTCAGATCGTTCGTGCTGGTGACTGTGGTGGGTGTTCGGCCGTATCAGCGATCACCCGCCCGAAAAAGAAAAAAGAAAAATCAAACGCCCCGGCGTATTCTCCGATGAACCACTTCGTTCCGTTTCGCGGGTAGTCGTCGAACATGAACGCATTTCCCGTGAACCTGTGATAATCTGTTTCGTCATCTCGGATGACTCACCGCTGAGAAAGTCTCACCAATCCGGCGAATTGTACATATGAAAGTCAACTGGTCGGGTGGCTCAGCCGACTGCTACAGATCCCGGCAGGGCACGAGAGCAGCTGTGGCAACTTACTTCGCTGATATGCCGGGGATAGCGCCAGTGTCGGGTAGGACGTCGCGATAAACTCCATCTTGGGGTATTTGGCCCCGATTGCCGAGACGAATGCGTTCCACCGGTAGCCTGCGTACGAGCTTTCCTGGAACTAGGTGTGGAAAAAGGGTCACGACCGGCTGCGCCGAGAATCGGAACTGGTTGAACTACCACTTGCCTGATCTTCGTTCCCTCTGTGCGGGCATGGGTGTTAAGAAACTCGATCAGAAGAAACAGCCAGGACACACGCACATCTCGATGTACTTGAGCGCGTACGGTTCCGGCCTGCCCAGGCTCGCGCGCAGCTTCCCACCGGGCGTCGAAAGATTCCCGACGATGAACTCGATCTCGTTGAGCACGTCGTCGATGTACGGCTGCAGATCCGCTTCGGGAACGATCGGCCAGGTGGCGAGATCCGAGTAGTTCTGGATGGAGATGCCGTCCCAGACGCCTGTGGAGACTCAGATTAGGACGTGATAAGGTTTTTGGTTGACACAGGCGAGAGCGACCTAGGATGGGTTCCTCGGGGAGAATCAGCTCGGCCGGGGGTTGTGTATGTGACATTAGCAATTCTCACCGCTTGCAGGTCTTCTGCCCAGTCCAAGTACTCCAACAATCCCTTTCCATCCGGTTAAACGTTTGAAAAAGAAACATCGAAAATGGAGCGCACCAGGCCGTCCGTGTTCGGATATCCTTCGTACTTCTGTTAGAATCTCATGCATTGACGAAGAAAGCCGAAACATCTTCACCCCAGTCTCCCACCCGACCCGGCCGATCTTCAATTCTATCCATTGTCTTTCATCAGACACTAGACCCCAAGCCAAACCAGATCAAACAAACGAACCTTCCGATCGTCTCGTTCCACTTCCACCGCGTGTCAATACTCGCGCCCTCGATGTTGTTGCCTCCTGGGAACCGCCACACCGACGGCCGCGTCGCCGCGAGCGCCTCGGCCAGATCGACGCGCATACCGTTCGGACGCCCGCGGAACGTCGGCGGGAACAGCGAGAACAGGCCGAAGTACACCGTGTGCCCCGCCGCGCTCTTCCCGTCGACCACGACACTGAAGACGTTCTCGTCTGTCGGCGCGGATGCCGCCGGCTGCAGCTCGAACGTGAATTTCT